TGGCATTTCCGGCAAAATTAAATTCCTAGTGCACTTTAGCATCCAAATAGAGTCTCGGTGCTGCCATCTAGTGTGGCAGAAACTAGACGTCCAAATTAACATGACCAACGGTATCTCACCCATTGTGGTGGTCCTGAAAGAGTGGATACCACCTCTGGAGAACGTACTAGGTCTGCTCATCGGCAAGACCGATTGTGCAGCTCATTGAAAATAAAAAATATATATATATTATATCTTTTGTCATTTCTTTTCAGGTGTTTCCACAGATCAGCGATTTCAGTCAAAGAATTGCTACAAACAAAACAAAATTCCAAAACAGTTGAATTTTAAGTATAAAACTAAGAGTCCAGTGGTACTCAAAAGCACTGGATTTTCAAAGAAATGGACCCCTGGTTTATGGGCAGCGAACAACAAGACTTCCAGTATTATGGACAAATTCAAATTTCAATTGTTCTCAACTCATGTTCGAAGAAAGAAACATCTTGGACCAATGGTCTATAAATACGCCGATAACTTTGACCAAGTCAAAAGCAAAATTGAGGCAGTTTTGGAATATTATTATAATAAAAAACGGATTGGTAGAGACGATAACTCTGAAGTACGAATTCTGAAAGATCTGATAGGAAGGTTGGATGTCCATATGAAGTGTGACATTTGTTTAAGAAGTAAAAATATTACATGAAATGAAAATAATTATGATGTCAGCTTTTGATGCTTATCTTTAGGATGTACCAAAAGTTCCATTCTCAATATGTATATATATCTTTTTTAATTTAGGATCACAAATTAATATTTTATCTATTTGTGCCTTGCATCCTTTCCAAAAGACGATTCCTTTTTCCAAAAATGAAAAAAGTGGTAACAAATGTGCTTGTTTATTGGGATTTATTTTTCAAAATCAAAATAATTTTGTTTACCATAATATATTAATATATATTAATAATATAGATTTGTATATTTTTATCTGAAGTCAAAGCATGGTGCTGTTTTAAGGCTAAATTAGTAGGTAACAAAAAGAGATACTGCAATTTTATATAGAAATTTTTCACATGAAGCCACTTTTAACTGCTCGGCATTGATGGTTTAAGCGAAGAAAAAACAAAAACGCTATTGAAATCTAACAAATCATTTATCGAGGGTGGCAGATATACAAAAAGCATTAGAATTGTGTTATTGCAAGTAAACATAAACGTGTTTCTTTTAAATTTCTTTCAATTGCTCTCTCTCTCTATATATATATATTTAGCAATCAAACAGGTTTTAGTGTTTTATAAATCCGTCTTCCTCAATAGTTATTTGTCATATTTCGATAGCGTTATTGTTTTATCTTTGTTTAAATAGTCATTTAAAACCCTCAATGCATACACTATTTTGGCTTTTTTAAGTAAGGTTTTGCTTTATGTCTGTTATGTTTTGCTTAAAAGTTTTTTACACTTGATTTATTGAACTCTAGAATTTTTGATTTTTTCTAAGTGCCAAAACAGAGTTTAAATAATCAATGCATGAATATTAAAGTCAATGCTCCTGTAAAATACAATATCATTCAAACGTACTTATTTATGCAATATTTTAACATGTTCATATTAAATCATTGAAGTTTTGTTTTTCCCTTTTTTTTGCTTAAAGGGTTTGGACAATTGGATATATTTAAATATTCGACTTTTACTTTGTTAAGGGGCAAAATAAAATTTGAAAACTTAATTGGACAATTTGTGAACATAAATTTATTGTGATTATTCATGCATATACAAGATAATTTTAAACATTTTTATTTTTGTAATATTTTTACATGTTTATATTAAGGCACTGATTTTTCATGTTTTCTTTTTGTCTTGGTCATAGTAAATTAAAAATAAATAAGATATTTTTATTTCTAATTCGATTCGCATTTTTCAAACGATTTAAAGCACACTGAAATTTTTTTTAATATTTAGATTCATTTAAAAAGTTTTGAATGATTTTAGGCAAAAAGGCATCATTCTAAGCAAAAATGAAATAAAGTTTTTTTCCTCACATTCATGATTTTATTTGATCTTTCTGTAATACTTAGTAATTACAGGCTTAAATCTCTTCAGATTTATTTCTATTGAGAATAAAGTTTACAAATATTTTTTTGCTTTACAATCAGCATAATATACTCAATTAATACATTAATCTACTTAATGAATTAATCTACTTAATTAATCTACTCAATTAATAACATAATATACTTCATTAATAAGCGTTTTATATCGTATTAAAATTTTTACACCATGTTAAATCTGTGTGACCGATGTTTTTAGAATTTTCAATCTTAATTTTTTGGTTATAACTAACCATGAAAAATGTTCAAATTGATATTTAAGATAATGAATTCTTAGATAGGTAATACTAATCACGTAAATAATTAAGAAAAAAAACTTTAAAAAAATATGCAGAAATAAAAAAAGTGTTAATTTAAAATTACAAAATATTTTCAAATTTTGTAATATTTGACAATGTTTCTATTTAAAAAAAATAATTATTTATTACCAATTTCATACCCAACTCAAAATTATTGATGGTTTTCCATTGATGGGCAAACATAATCTTGATGGTATCATCAATATTTCTATCTTCTAATTCTTTATGATGGTCCAACTTAAAAAAATAAAAAAAATGTTCTGATGGTATATTCCTGAGAACCAACAAGAATTCCTATTGATCCATCGTGAAAATGTATAGTTGGAACCATCATGACTCATCACGAATCATCATGAATCGTTGGTCCATAAGAATCAAACTTCTCTTGATGGTTAACTATCATAGTATTTAAGTAGCATTTTCCATCACGGAATGATGGAAGTTTGTTGGCATATCAAACACCTTGAACACGCAATGGAAAATGTTGGATGATGGTGATCATCAAAAATGTTGGACCATCACAAATCGCTATTAAACCAGCATAAACCATCAAACTGTTTTGATGGGACCGTCAAGAATTTTGATTTTGGGTAGGCACGTGAAGTATTCACGAATCATTTATTTTCGTTTCAAACAAAAAAAAAATAATGAGGGTACAACTCCTTGAAAAATTTGGATACTTGATTTTATCGAAATATTTGATTCTTACTTATTTTTAAGTGCAAAATGAATTTGATCTCCATGGTCACATTTTCCCTTGATCATACAATATCATTTAAAACATTTTGACATGCTCATAATAATTTTTCTTTTTGCTTAAGAGAATTTAGATACTTAATTTTATTGAAGAAATTCGTTTTTACTTTTTTAAAGTGTCAAAATAAAGCTTGAAAGTCTAATCAGGCGATGCATAATAATGTAAAATTGTTTTGTTTCTTGTTATCATTTGAAAGATTTTGATATGTTCATAATTAGGCAACGATTTGGTTGTTATCATTGTGCTCAAAAGGGTAATTTTAGTGAAAATTGTTTCATTTTTGATTTGTCAAAAGTAAGTGTAAATATTATTTTTTTAAGAAAAAGAAAAGGGTTAAATATCTCTATAATGCAAAATGAATTAATCATTTCAGTTTGAAAAACACTAACAAAGAAATATTAGGTCAATTGACAGAGATAGTATTAAAACTTGAATATATTTTTACTTCATGAAATATTTTTGTCTTCTTCATTGTGTATCAAATATTGTGATATCTGTCATTTCATGATTTGTAAAAATGTTTCATTGCTCTCTGTTTTTTTAAATAAATAACACATTTATGCAGTTCGTTGATTATTTATTTCTTTTCTTTACTGACAAAGTATTAGTAGTTACTAAGCAAAAATATCTTAAACCATCATAGAGATATTACCTGATAAAAAGTTCCTTCACCTCAAAAATAAAAATAAAATCAGGAAATAACAGCCGACATGTTTCAAGAGCTTCAAAAATAGGCTCCCGTTTTCAAGACTTGTCAGATATGAATGTTAAGAAACAAAAATGATTTGAAATTAATGAAAAAACGTAAAATTTTCAGCAAAAAATAGAAAAATAAAGGTGAAAAAACAATCCTAGAAAAACCACAATAGCCGAGAGAGGAAAACGAAGAAAAACAGACAACAAAGAAAACAGCTAACAAAGGAATCAGCATTCATTTGAATAAAACAAGATTCCAGGGCATCAAGATGAACTGATGTGACCGGAGTGGAAATAAATTTGGTATTTCTTTCATTTTATAACCGTCGTAGAACAGCCGACCCTTCATGCTTACGACTACTAATGTTCAAAGCCATATCCTTGTATTTTTGAACCCAATCCAGAAGACAAGGGAACTTCTGGATTAAGTATTGGGAGAAAGTTGCCTTCGTGGAGGTCTTTTTGATGGAACTAACCCGCATTTGCGTTACATGGAGACGAACACCACGGGAACCTCCCACGGTTAGCCTGACGGCAAGGGGACTCTTGATCCGTCTACCACTGAGGATATTTCAAGTCAGCACTGTGATCGGCGCATGCTGGATGCGGAATTCGTATCGACCAGCCATCGCCGGGTTCGATCCCTGGCTCACCTCATTCGAAGGCAAAAGCTCTATCTTCTGATCCTTCACGGTTCAATAAATTTGGTATTGTCGAAATTAAATGTTTGCCCAAGATTCTAACGATGAGCAGCAATTGATGATATTTTGAATTCTTGATAACGGACATATCTATCGCATTCCTTTCGTCTAAATTTTAAATCTCGTTTAGTTTGCCCGATGTAGCCAAGGAATGAGGTAAATGCCTTAGCGATTATTGAAGCTAATAGACCTCTAAGAGACTTAAATTTGGTTTTGTAAACTGTCCTGAAAAGGACTTTAAAACCAAAATAAGAGAGGATATTAGCAATTTCGTAACTAATGGGAGAAAAAAACGGTAAAGGAACAAGCTCTCTGAAAATATTAAAAGAAGTGGGGCGATGGCCTGGATAGCAGGAGCTGAACTCACGTTTGTGAGAAAGGGAGCTCAAATCCAGCCGGCCGGAGACTCCCCGTGTAGTAAATGGTGACTGCTGCACGTTGAATCTGTCGGAACACAAAGCATTCCATGTTTCCATAACAAATCAGTAACTCTGGGTAGACTAAATTGGAGATTGACTATTCTCTGGTTCAGCTAAAAATGACGATCTGTGGATGAATGAATGGGCCCGCTTTAAAAACGGGTGTGGCAAAAGTCAAATTCTTGACCATAGATGGCGCCACTGGAAAACAAGAGCAATCACACCCCGTCTACTTAATGACCGACGACAACAACAACAAGAGGGGCGCTTGGGTTTAATGACTATAGCAAGAGGTAAATCCTCTATAGAAGAATTAAATCCGCAGTTATCAGCAAACAAGAGGAGGAAGTTAAGTTCGGAGTTCAAAGAAGAAGATTCATAGCAAAAGTCAAGTGCAAGTGTGAAATGCAGGCATTTTCTGCCAATTAGGGTGATTAGAATTAACATGAGGAGACAAAGAGACAGCAAAATGTTTTCGATAAACAGAGGTGGAAAATGATAAAGGTACTTAGTTACAAGAACATCTGAAAAAGTAAAAGTCAATTAATTTCCATCTCTAAAGTGAACTCAATGTTGGGGTCAACTGAGTTGACAGCAGAAAGTAACTCTTGAAAATCAAACCCTCTGTCTACTAAGACAAACGTATCGTCAACATATCTTTTCCTTCATGAGAATTTGAACAATTTAAAAACTTTTTCTTCGAAGTGATAGATGAAAATGTCAAAAAGAATGAGAGATAGTGGATTACCCATGGCTAAGCCCTCAATTCGTCGATAGAAATTACACTTGAATTGAAAAGAAGTTTGCTGACAATAGGAATGGACAAGGAATGACAAATATCTTCACTTTCTGTTGTTTATTGTTGTTGTTTCTAATGCTACTTTCCATATGGGCAAGCCTGCTTGGTGAAACCGAGCAAATTTAAGGCAGAGTGTGCGTTTCTTTTCTTTCAGTGGCGCCATCCTATGGCCAAGAATTCGTCTTCAGCCACACACACGTCACAGCCCGTTTTATAGGACGAACCCATTCACATACCTGCCAACTCTTCCGGATTTTCCGGAAGATCTTATTTTCATATTTAAAGTGGTAGCAATACTCAGGTTATTCCAATTAACTTTTTGAATTATAATGATAATTATAAATGAGTTTGACCACCACTACATATAAATAATTATAATAAATATATGTAAGCATAACAATCCTTGCGCAAGCGACTTTCAACGGGATCAAAATATAAATATATTTTTGAGTCAGATTGTTTTTCATTTAATGTTTTACAACCACTCTGAAAATCCATTCTCGGAAACAGTGAAAGTTGGCAGGTATGCATTCACACATCCATTCATTCATCCACATATCGCAATTTTGACCTGAATCAGAGAACGATTGATCTCCAATCCAGTACCCCCAGAGGTATTGATTTGGNAGACAATTGCCACCCCCTCCATAGAAAAGGTTTTGTTTTATGGCTACCGGGGCCGGTACCCCCTGAAGACGTCGGCTTCGGTGGTCATATTTTTACTTTTATTTCCCTTGTTTCCTTTATTGCTACATTTATCCTTTTTGTGAAATATCTGCTGCTTTTTAAGCGCGTTTTTTTTTCATAGAAGTTTTAATAATTTAGATTTAAAAAAAAAATTTGTTATAGACAGCAGAAAGTAACTCTGGAAAATCAAAACCACTGTCTACTAAGACAAACGTATCGTCAACATATTTTTTCCTTCATGAGAATTTGAACAATTTAAAAACTTTTTCTTCGAAATAATATATGAAAATGACAAAAAGAATGAGAGATAGTGGATTACCCATGGCTAAGCCCTCAATTCGTCGATAGAAATTACACTTGAATTGAAAATGAGTTAGCTGACAATAGGAATGGACAAGGAAGGACAAATATCTTCACTTTCTGTTGTTTGTTGTTGTTGTTTCTAATGCTACTTGCCACACGGGCAAGCCTGCTTTGTGAAACCGAGCAAATTTAAGGCAGAGTGTGCGTTTCTTGTTTTTCAGTGGCGCCATCCTATGGCCAAGAATTCGTCTTCAGTCACACGCACGTCATAGTCCGTTTTATAGGACGAACCCATTCACAGATCCATTCATTCATCCACATATCGCAATTTTGACCTGAATCAGAGAACGATCGATCTCCAATCCAGTACCCCCAGAGGTTTTGATTTGGGAAAATGGAGGACTTTGAGACTCGACAGATTTTACGTGTATCAGTCACCATTTACTACACGGGAAGTCTCTTCACTTTCTATATAAGATTAGTGAAAGTCTTGCAATTATAGTAATGTCCAAGCTAGAAGCTGAACTATATTGGTTTTTTATTTTATTTCATAACCGTCGTTGAACAGCCTACCCAATTTTAGAATTACGATTACTGATGCTCAACTCCATAGCCTTGTAATTTTGAGCCCAATCCAGAAGACAAGAATTCCTGGATCAATCCAGAATTCCTGGATCAAGGATTGGGAGAAATTTGCCTCCGTGGAAGACTTTTTGATGGAACTAACCCGCATTTGCTTTACATGGAGAGGAAAGCAACGGAAACCTCCCACGGTTAGCCTGACAGCAAGGGGACTGTAACCCATGATCCGTCTACCACTGTGGATACCACTGAGGAAATTTTATGTCAGACTGCTGTCGGTGTGATCCTAGTGCAAAATTCGTATCAACCAGCCAGCCATCTCTGCGATTCGAACCCGGTTCACCTCATTGGAAGGTAAACGCTCTATAGCCTAAACCATCGCGGCTGATTGTCATGCATTAAGGAACAATCACGAAAATGACCATAGCTCAAAAAGTTAAGTATAGAATTTAATGAAGCTGGCACATATTATAGTGCACATAATAAAGTATAAAATAACATAAAAAGTATTAACCAGACAATTATGGTTTAACAGAAATTAACAAATGTATGAAATGAATAAATGAGATGTGTCAGTTTTGAATCGAAAAAATACCCTCATTATGTAGTATGACCACTTCTGGCATCGATGCAGCACATACAATGTGATGATTTCAATTATGCGGTTCAAATTTCATCGGGATTGGCTTATTTTTGAAAGAGTCACTGCTATTTTTGTAATTTTTCTTTCATTTATAATCAGTGTATATCACTGAGCGAAATAAATCAATCTGGCGTTTGCACCATTCCTATTGGACGATTCATGTTAACATCTCAATAGAAACGTATTCCTATTGGTTATGATCTGTAAAGCATTGATCACATTGGTGGATTGTCTGTGGACAGATGAGTAAAGTGACGTCAGGATAGACTTCTCTATACACTACCTACGCGTGTATGGTGGATAGAAGTGATCGACAATCCTTCTAATACGATATGTGGTTATAAAAGTGTTTATGTAAATCTTAAAAAGAAATATTAGAAGTGATTTTGTGTTTATTTTGTTATGTTACAATATATCTGGCTGGGATTTTTTATTTTTATTTTATCGAATTCTAGCCTCTTTTCAATTAATATGCTGAAATGCAAAGGTCAGTAATAAAATGACACAAAAAGTTTTGAAATTACGTTTTTATAGTACAGTAAAACCTGTTTTTGTGCGGTGGATAGGGACCGCATAAAAGAAATCGTACAAAAAAAAATATTCGAAAATTTTATTAATTCTTACATATAATAAACGACTTTGTACGATATACTACTTAAAAAAAATTTTATGCGGTGGATAGGGACCGCATAAAAAAAGTCGGACTAAGAAAATACATCAATGATTTATGAAAT